ACAGCCTATCTGGCCAGGTGTGGTGGCTCACACTTGTAATCACAGCACTCTGGGAGGCTGACGCAGGAGGAGCGCTTGAGGCTAAGAGTTTGAGACCAGCCTAAATAACATTGTAAGACCTCGTCCCTACAAAATTTTTTTTAAAATTAGCCGGGAGTGATGGCATGCGCCTGTAGTTCTAGCCACTCCAGAGGCTAAGGCAAGAGGATTCCTGGAGCCCAGGAGCTCAAGACTGTAGTGAGCTCTGATGGTGATGGGGCCACTGCACTCCAGCCTGGGTGACAGAGCGAGACTCCGTCTCAAAAAAAAAAAAAAATTGGCCGGGCGTATCACGAGGTCAGGAGTTCAAGACCAGCCTGGTTAACATAGTGAAACCCCATCTCTACTAAAAATACAAAAAATTAGCCAGGCATGGTGGCAGGCACCTGTAATCCCAATTACTAGGGAGGCTGAGGCAGGAGAGTCACGCGACTGCACTCCAACCTGCGTGACAGTGTGAGACTCCGTCTTAAAAACAAAAAACAAACAACAACAAAAAAAACCAATGTGCAAAGTAGGCTGGGCACAGTGGCTCCTGCCTGTAATCCCAGCACTTTGGGAGGCCAAGGTGGGAGGATCACCTGAGGTCAAGAGTTCAAGACCAGCCTGGCCAACATGGTGAAACCCCATCTCTACTAAAAATACAAAAATTAGCGGAGTGTGGTGGCACACACCTGTTATCCCAGCTACTCGAAAGGCTGAGGAAAGGGGAAGCTGAGGCAGGAGAATCGATTGAACCCAGGAGGCAGAGGTTGCAGTGAGCCAAGATTGCACTGCAGTGAGCCAAGATTGCACCATTGCACTCCAGCCTGGGCAACAGCGAGACTTTGTCTCAAAAAAAAAAAAAAGTGCAAAGTAGGCTGGGCATGGTGGCTCATGCCTGTAATCCCAGTGCTTTGGGAGGTCCAGGTAGGTGGAGTTCAAGACCACCCTGGGCAATATAGCACGACCCTTTCTCTACAAAAAATTTAAAAACTAACAAGCCATAGTGGCGTACACCTGTAGTCCTGGCTATCTGCGGTGAGACAGCTTGAGGTTCACTGCAGCCTCAAGCTCCCAGGTTCAAGTGGTCCTCCCATCTCAGCTTCCTCAGTAGCTGGAACAACAGGAGCTCACCACTGCGCCCGGCTAATTTTTCAAATTTTCTTTGTAGAGAAGGGGTTTCACTACATGGTGTAGGCTGGAGCACAGTGGTAGGGTCTTGGCTCACTGCAGCCTTCATCTCCTGGGTTCAAGCGATTCTCCTACCTCAGCCTCCTGAATAGCTGGGATTACAGGCGCACGCCACCACACCCAACTAATTTTTGTATTTTCAGTAGAGACGGGGTTTCACCGTGTTGGCCAGGCTGGACTCTTTAACTCCTGACCTCAAGTTTTCCACCCACCCTGGCCTCCCAAAGTGCTAGGATTACAGGCAAGAGCCACTGCGCCCGCCCCCAGGCCCCATTTTCATTTGACACATGGCTACTGTAGCCTGAAGCTCTTCGCCAGTCTCATATCCCCAATTCTAGTCATCACAAGCCAAGTTCCCTCTGTTTTGTGCTGTTCGAAGTTTTAGTGGGGACCAGAAAGGAAGCTTAATGTGCCACATAGGTACAAACTGAAGGATATAAGACGAATTTTTATGAAGTGATGGATGGCAGAGTCAAAATCATTTTAGAGGAACTTTCAGTTCGCTACCATTTTACTGAGTAGATATCCTCAGTCCTCTGTAGGCCCCCCGAACCAGCAGTATCCCCTTAAAGAAACTCAATCCTTGGCAGCATGAAGCAAGGTCGGCCACAAAGGCAAAGGAGGCGGCTCGGGTAGAGAGGGAGTGGGTCCTGATTCCCAGCGGGGGAGCCTTCCAAAGGGTGCACTCTGGAAGAACCTCCCAAGGAGCCGACTTGGAGGCACTCGGCGCACCCAGGCCCGGCCCCGCGGAGGGCCG